TTATAATTATTTTCTTATCAGATGTTATGGTAGATCTCTGAGTTTGAAACCAGAGTGCAGCCCTCTGTGGCATGATTTAGGAGTTAACTACTATAGACAAGCAGAGAACTTAAAAGATGATGTCAAGGCCAAGGAAGTTGCTAAGAAAGCATTACAGGTAATACTATAATTGTATCACATTAAAAATGTAGAGAGTAAGAAAAAATTGGGACTTGTATCACATTATTTCTATGAATGGCGTGAACCCATGTAGTGACAGGGTTTTCTGTGATGTTTAATCTGGTCATTGTGTTTGGTTGGTTGTATTCCTTCATCCAGGATATGGAATATTTCATTGATGAATGACTACAGATCAGAATGATATTAATGCTTTGAATCAATATTTGCAGATATGTGTGTGTGATTTGCAACACAAACTTTGCATGTCGGAGACGTCAAATACGACATTACAACTTTAATATACTTATTTGCATTTCATATTATTTATTATTTGTTTTGTAGTGTTTGCAGAAAGCTGTAAGTTTTGATGTCTCTAACCATCTCCACTGGACAGCTTTGGGTGTCATCGCTTCTTCCAAATGTAAGCCAATAGTTAAATCCATTCTTTGGCTTCAGTGATTTTCTCACTGTAGCCCATCATACTGTATTTTAGGCATATTCATATCAACAATCAAATTTCAACCAAATATTCCTCAACATATGCATGTCAAGTGATTTCACGTGAAATGATATTTCCTGTAACAATTTTCACATGCACTTATGAAATCAGCGTTATGCGTAAAAAGTTTGGTTTCTCAGTTTTTTGACAAGAACAGCAAAAGAGAGAGCTATATTAAAGTACTCCATTACATTAATATACATTGTTTGGTCTTTCTTACAATTATATGGCCATTGGTCAAAAAAAGTAAATACCCAAATTATGCTATTAGTAGTGCTTGCACAAAAGAAGTCTTATTTATTGATGCATACAATTAAAGCATTACAAATGTATGTGGTTGATGTGCACTTCCTCGAGATGCAAGTGTAATAGAACAAATACTGTACATAATGATGGAGTCAACATATATATTTACAATTAAAGCAATTTGTCGTTGATGTGCACTTCCTCGAGATGCAAGTGTAATAGAACAAATACTGTACATAATGATGGAGTCAACATATATATTTACAATTAAAGCAATTTGTCGTTGATGTGCACTTCCTTGAGATGCGATTGTTATAGAACAAATACTATTAGTACAGTACATAATGATGCAATCAACATATATTTACAATTAAAGCAATTTGTCGTTGATGTGCACTTCCTTGAGATGCTATTGTAATAGAACAAATACTGTTAGTACAGTACATAATGATGCAATCAACATATATTTACAATTAAAGCAATTTGTCGTTGATGTGCACTTCCTTGAGATGCGATTGTAATAGAACAAATACTGTTAGTACAGTACATAATGATGCAATCAACATATATTTACAATTAAAGCAATTTGTCGTTGATGTGCACTTCCTTGAGATGCGATTGTAATAGAACAAATACTGTTAGTACAGTACATAATGATGCAATCAACATATATTTACAATTAAAGCAATTTGTCGTTGATGTGCACTTCCTTGAGATGCGATTGTAATAGAACAAACACTGTTAGTACAGTACATAATGATCCAATCAACATATATTTACAATTAAAGCAATTTGTCGTTGATGTGCACTTACTTGAGATGCGATTGTAATAGAACAAATACTGTACATAATGATGGAGTCAACATGTATTTGCTGTATCTTAGCAGTTTCCCTTTCAAAATTTCATGGTATGGTAGAACATAATCAGTAATAGGCTGGAAAATCACATATATTGTGAAGATCAAAAGAATGATTAAGTTTGGTTGGTAACCATGGTAATGCTTATTGATTTTCAGATATAAATAATGCTAAGTTATCACAGCATGCATTTATCAAATCAATCAATGCTGAAAATAATGTAAGTTATCATAATTATTATTATAATATTTTTGGATGACCAGCATACGCATTGTTTTGTATGAAAATATTTTTGTTTTATTCATAAAAAATAATTGATATTAGATCCTTAAGAAATAAATACTCAATGCTTATTGGCCAGTTTAAATGCTGTGCATGCTGGGAATTCTCTTTAGTTATGTGACCTCAGATGATTGACAAGTGACAGGATTGGGTGATGAGATATTATAAGTGTGAGATGCATTGATTCTAGTACATAAGTGAATTTATTTGTTTAGAATTTACATTTACCCATGGGCAAAGCTTCTATAGGTTTACTATGTTTGAATTTTTCTAGAATGTTGTTGCCTGGACTAACTTGGGTGTGTTGTATCTTGTCCATCATCAAGTTGAGTTGGCGCACAAAGCATTTAAAATAGCCCAGTCTTTAGAACCATCTTACGTGGCTTGCTGGATTGGACAGGTAACTATATAGTTCTTTATTTTATTGTTTTTCTATGCATCAGAAATACAAACCTGGGTGATGTCTGTTTTGCATGTTGTACTATGGAAACGTGCAACACAGTTGATATTTGTCTCGAACAAAAAACAACTACTGTGACAATATCATATTTCACTACATTTAATTGAAGTGTTGTGTGTGTTTAAATTTTATGTACAGTGTAACAACCTTTATTGATATTGTATCCCCTCTGGGATCTAGATTAGAATACAATAAAGATATAAAGAACAATAAAGACAATGTATTAAATGTATTAAAGACAATGTGTTTTACACTCATTGTATGCAGTGCTATGAGTTCTATATTGAATTTGACACAACGCTGCACGTCCATCACTAACTTGTGATCTTCTGTGACAAGGTTACCCATAAGTTGTCTTATTAATTAACAACAGCTTCAATTAAAAATGTGTGAACGACTGGTCTTTGTCAACCAATCACTGCACACACGCAAAGCTTAAATAAGTGTGTCCTATTGATGCTAAATTAAATTATTATAATATTTACATGGTTCATTCATTATCTAGGCATTGATTGCTGAAAGCATCGGTAGTCAAGAAGCAATGGATCTATTCAGACATGCAACTGAACTAGGCACCCATGTAAGTAAACAATGCATAATTAGGTTTATATCAGTCAGCTTTGGTGATACCCGGTTTATTATTGTACTTTTACATTGTGTTACACATCATATCATACATTTTGTAACTCAGAACTGACGGATTATAACCTCAAATCTGTGTAGTGGTTGGCATCTAGCAAATAACGCTTAATAATCTTTCATTACAGTTGGCATTTAACAGTGTATTTGATTTGTCAAATGATAATGTTGTCAATATAAACACTAGAGATCACATGGTTATGGTGAATTTTCCTCACATTTAGCATTTAAATGGCCGTAAAACAGTGTTTTATTTTTTGAAATGCTCATAAAATTTACACAAAGAAGGAGTGATCTATAGACATTGTCGCCAGAAATTGTCTGATGATTTGGTTTATTCAGCATATGGAAGTTTGCAGTGTTTGATTGAAGCAATCCACAGCAAACATAGCCTCCATGCCATCGTCATGGATACCAGTTATCAGGCCATCATCATGGATACCAGTTATCTGTTTGACAGTCTCTTGCTGCAAAGAACTGTAACCATATGATGCCCAAGATAACAACCCTTGGCAACTGTTTTATTTCAGTTAGAAGGATGCCTTGGTTATGCCCACTGGGTATGTAATACTATATTTGATGAAAAAGTTGATAAGACGTCAGAATATTATAAATATAATATCATACAGATGAGGGCTGTAACTGCGGCTGTGGTTGCCATGGCGAAATACACAGGTATGTACATGTAGCCAGTTTGTTTTCTAACTTAACTTCTCCTCTAGTTGTGCAAGTGTTGTCTTATTTTCATCCCTTTTGACCAAATTTTGTTACCTTTTGAATTTAAAGGGCGACAGTCATCGCGCCACGCATGCAAGAGATACATGGGTCTCATATAAACAAAGATGGCGACTTTGGCTGAGACGTTACCAAGCTTTAATTAGGTATTTTTCAGGTGATTGGAAGGTATCGAAGGAGTCATCAACAGTAATTAGTGCATGTCACGCCCAGGTCAAACCTTATACTTATGATTTCCATTAGAAAATCAATGTTTATCAACACAAATGTCGGCATGATGACTACCGCCCTTTAAAAGTCCAAATAAATCTACATAATATTTTTTGGAACAATTTTGATCGAGAACTGTGGCCAATGGGAAAATATGTCTATTTGGTCTAAAATTAACAAAAAAAATTATAGAAAAATTCAAAAAAATCAGTAAAATGTTGCTCCACATTATTTGGCGAAAAAGAATTATGAAAAGCCACAAGTTAGTCGCCATAATCCATGATTACTGAATCTAAAGCTTGATAAATGGTACAATTTGCATTTAATTTGCATAATACTAGCGGGTTGTTATTTCCAAATATCTAAAGCATCTGTGTACAAGTTTTTGGGCAGCATAAGTGTGTAGACCGTATTCTACCCAAAACCTTTGTTGATTACACTGAAACATGATTCTATTATAACCCAAAGGTTCTGACTACATAGTAATAAGAGGAATGATGATGATTCCATTATGTTTTTCAGATAGAGTACATTCTGACTCTACTGCCTACAATATGTACGGTGTATTACTAGAACACACAGGACTCTCTCAACAATCTGAGTCTAGTCTTGGAAAGTAAGAAATTATTCTTATCATAGTTATACAAGTCATTTTGAACTATTTCCCACCATCGTATAACACAAGATATTAACCTGTATTGATTCCATCGACAGTGTTCATTTTATAACCAGCCATCCTTGGCTGAAATGCACAAATTGAAACAAGAATACTTTCAGCCAATCATGCTCTTAATCATTGCAGTTGAGTCAAAACATATATACAAGGCAAAATTCGCTACGTTCAATTACCCACCATAAACTCTGGTCAGTCAAAATGGCTATTTTGAACTGTAGGCATTAATCTGCGATTCAGCCAATGACGGAGAAAGAAATCTAGGTCAGGGGAAGCCCCATGACCTCAATATTTTCCCTTACATCACATCACAACCATGTGACAGAGGCAGTCTGACTAGCTGTCACCTGCATGGCAGCCGACGCCGTGGCTGGTAGGATAAGTCCTTCTTATTATTTACCCCTGTGTCGCCTTTTTGTGTGCATTGCCTTACGAGAAAGAAAAAACTTGGGTGATGCAATTTGGCCACGTTGTTGGATCTCTTTGTGTCGGCTTTTAACTGTAATTCGTTCCACTCATGCATGTCTTGTTCATTTTTATCAATGTGTTTTTAGAAATGTATAGCAAGTAACATACCAGAGGCTCTTCACCTCCTTTTTTTGTCACCCCAAAGATCGGGACGATCGTACGGTAGTTGCCACCAGGAATTACCAGCTTACAACACACATAGTAATGCTGTTTCTGTTTCGACTGTGTGCGGGGCTCAGGGTTTTGCCTAAACATTTTTTGTAGCAACTGGGGTTCCGAGGCCTGGTATGCGTTCCAAGGCCGTGTGCAGATTACTGAGTCTGGCCGCATGGCTAGGGTCCTCAGCAGTCGTGTGTACAATAATGTGAGCGTGAATGCCTTGTGTACCGTGGCGACGAGTGAGAGACCCGACAGTGGAGGTCCTGAGATTTGTCAGCTCTCCCTGCTGATCGGAGGGCTTCCTCGCAGTCTGCTTCTACAGGCGGCGATTTTGCCCGATCATGCCGGCAAGGGCGAGACTGTGCCCCTGGAGGTTTGTCTATGAGACTTGGGCTTTGGTTGAGGACCTGTTGGGACAAATTGTGTCACTTGCAGGTCGGGCAGACCAAATGCAAGGGGAGCAGGTTGCCTCCACTGTAGTTGCCCCTTGTTTTGGCAAGCCGGAAGAAGCATACCAACAAGCAATATTCACATGCAGGATGCTTCCTCCTGGGATCCCCCAATCCCAGCCCTTCCTTTCCATTTTTTGGGAGGCTAGAGGGACACAGGCTGGTGATACCGGGTCTCCACCGCGACCTAGTCCACAGGTAGCCAACGGGGGGCTGCAGCTGGTGGTCAGAACATCGATCTCGGAGGGGACCAAGCCGAACAAGACATGGGGTTGTACATTGACATTGTAACCCTTTCCGCACTCTGCCAGCCAGTTGGACTTGCAGACGCTCTCAAAGGGGACCTGCCTGACCATCACGGCAAGTGAAACCTAAGACGGCCCCTCGAAGTCTGTTCTTTGTAATGACTCCGTGAAACACGTGGGGTGATGGGGGAACATCAATCCTAGTGACCCACTGTTCAACCGCCCACCCCAACCCTCGATTCTGAAGCAGTCACTCTCGGTAGGGCTGTCACTTCCGGGATCCAGATCGCAGGATCCAAAGCAATACCGTCTGCATGGCTCTCCTGGTTCTGGCCGAGTGCTGGACGTAGGGGAAACGCACAGACGATGTTGATGGGCGGACCTTGGTCCCCTGCAGATTAGAGACCTAAATTTTAGGATCGGACAATTTTATGCTCAACCCATTTCCGCTGGACCAAGCGCTACCCGATCGAGTGGTGTTTGAGACCGGAGCCAGCAGGGTCTGGAGTCAAATCTCACTGCCCGACCAGATCCTTCGGTTCCTTCCCCCGACCCCGGTACCACAAATTTTTGGTTTGGTGGAACGGGCAAAGGCAGGGGGCCGCGTTCATGGAATTTTTCAACAGTACAGTAGGAAACAATCCACGCACTGTGAGCAGAGTGGCGACCCTGAACCTTTGAGTTGTGGCCAGCCCACTGGAACACATTGTTTTGCGCCGCCACACTCTGAAGTCTCGAAGGCGGAACGCACCAGCCTCCTAGACCAGCAGACACAGCCATTGGTGGGACACCACACAGCTATGCGGGATATCCTGCCAATTTGGCTGTTTTCACTGGGCACACCACCGCCTCAGTTATGCAGGCTGGACCTCCCTCACCCTCTTTCTTTAGAGGATGGAAGGAGCAGTCTTAGTGCTTCGAGATTCCACTGACCAGTTGGTACAAGTGAGACCCGCGAGCCAGTTTGGCTTCTGTCAAGGGCAAACGGAAAGGACCCCAAGCTGAGAAAACGACCAAAGTCAGCACTCACTGGCCAGAAGTAGCCAGGTGGCAAGTGTCCTGGCTCTTCTGGGGGAGGGAAGAGCGGCGACGGTCCCTCAGGAAGAAGGGACCAGGTGGGAGAGTCTGAACCTATTGACTTCTACAGGTCTCATGGGGTCTCACCTCAGCGGAGGAGAGATCACCCCTGATGTGGAACTGCCGAACCCACACATCTGTTGCACTGATTGCGCCTATGTATTCCGGCTCAGAGGCAGCTCATAACCGATCCCTGGACTCTCCAGGTGGTGATACAGTTACAAGATCTCGCTGCAATCTCCACCCCCCTGGCATCAGCCCTCGTTCTGGGTGCTACCAGGGGACAATCCGACAGTTTTCTTACAAAGGGCGCTATACACAGGATAGAGGACCCGGTGTTAAGTCCAGGCTTCTATTCGCAAGTGTTGGTGGTTCCAAAGACTACAGGTTGCTGCGTCTCATTCTGGATTTAAGCAGATTATATCAGTACATGTATGCCACTCACCATGGCTATGACTCTGGTAACGAATGCCTCCCTTACAGGTTGGTGAGAGCACCTATTGGACGAACAAGCCCAATGAATATGGCTCCTGCACTTGGTTCAGGACCGCCATATCAACTGGCTCGAACTGAAAGAAGTGCACTTAGCACTGATAAACCTTCTACCCATAGTTCAAGACCACAGAGTCTTGCTTCGCACGAACAACACAGCGGTGGTCTCCTATGGCAACAAGAAGGGAGGATCAGAACCCTCATCGCTTTCATTCCTAGCAAAGCAAATTCTCCTTTGGTACCTGGGATACAATGTGGAGCTTGCCGCACACCACCTTCCAGGGGTGAGGAACAGTCCAGCGGACGCTCTCTCATGCGGCTCCGTCTCCAGAACGCGGAGTGGCAGATACCCCATGGGGTAGCCTCCAGACTGTTTCGGCGGTGGGACAGTCCAAGTTTAGAACTATTCACCATACCCCGGAATGCCAAGCTCTTGACGTACGTGAAACTCCTGCCGAATCCAGGAGCCAGGGACGCTTTGTTGATCCTGTGGACCCACATGGACGTGTACGCCTTTCCTCCCTTCCCACTATTCACCAGGTACTGGAGAAACTTCGACACAGGTGCACCAGGCCCAACAAGCCAAGCAAGGTCTGGTTTCCACTATTTTTGGAAATGTTAGTCGAAACACCAGGGGTGCTTCCAAACTTCCGGATCTGCTGTCCCAACCGGACTGCCTTTGAGCCCAGCGGTGTACCATGCATCGAGGCTCTCAGTTGACTCACTCAGGGTTTTTCTGAGCGGGCTGCCAACGTCCTGGCCAGGGCGAACATGGATCCAACCGACACAGCCTATGCCTCAAAATAACAAGTGTACACTGATTGGTGTAGTGGAAGGGAGATCCATGCCATCCCTCTGTTGGCGAGACAGCTGACTTTTCGCCCATCTGTTTGACGAAATGGTCCTTTCAGCAATTGTTGGCTACGTACAGGTTAGCCTTGTCACCCACCATTGAGAATTCTCTGGGGACAAGGCTAGCCAGTTGTCCTATTATTAAGAGACTGTTTACTGCTTAATCAGAGGCTAGCTAGACCCTGAACGGGGGAACCACCCAATCTGGACTTGTCAGTTGTGTTGTCCGCTCTAAGCAAACCGCCTTTTGAGCCTCTTCGATCGGCACCACTCAAATATTTGACGTGGAAAACAGTCTTCCTACTAGCCCTTGTCTCAGGTAGGTGTCGGGCTGAACTAGGAGCCCTGTCCTTCTTGGACAGGTGTGCCATCTGTATGGAAAAACAGGTCATGCTGAAGAGACGAATCGGGTTCCTCACCAAGAATCAAATCCCAGGACGTAATCCACAACCGATCGTCATCCCCCGGCTGGCAACATTGTCAACCCAGAGGATCGGGAGGAGTTGCTTCTGTGCCCGGTTCGAGTGGCGAGTTGCTACGAGAGCCGTACTAAGGAGTTGAGGCATGGCAGCAAGCACATGTTTATATGTTATGGCCAGGGTAAGCAGGACAGACCAGCTTCTCCGACTTCCATTGCCAGGTGGATCACTGCGACCAGGTCCGAGGTTTATAACCGCTTGGCTTCCTCGACACAGGGTTTACAGAGACACCAAGTACAAGCACATAAGGTCTGTGCGATTGCTAACTTATTAGCTCTTGCGTCAGGTGCCTCCCTCGAACATTTGCTGAGGACAGACTTCCGGAGAACGCAAAATGTCTTTACCAGTTCTACCCAATCCATTGAGGAGGGTCATTTTAGGGAGGGTCCCGTCGTAGCGGGTCAGACTTTGGTTACTGACCCAGTCAAGACGACCTCAGGAATCCCTGCTCATGGGAGATAGAGTAGTCTCTGCTACAGATTTGTACGGAGAAGTTTCTCTCGTCAGCGCTCGTTGGAACTTTCCAGGTCTCGCTTTCGACTTATGCCCTCATGCAGAACTGTTTCGGTCTTTTCTTTTGAAAGCTAGTTACCCAAAATTTTGGGTTTAGCGTTCTCTGGCATATCAAACCCTGTCACTTTCAGCATTTTGTTTTGTTCTGGGGACGGCACTGGCAAGGTAGAACAGCGTTTCTTCACTGGTCTCAACTAGGTGGTCGTAGGTAGAGGGTATTATCCCGGACTGGGGCAACCTTTTTATCGTTTTTGGTTCGCTCGAAAACCTGTCACCTATCGGCGTCTGACTCTGCCTACAGTTCAAAATAGTCATTTTGACTGACCGGAGTCTATGGTGGGTATGAACTATGTGAATAGGCGGGTTGAAAACCCTCTGCCTAAATTTGTTATGTTCAAAAAAACTCAACAAACAAGCTGCTCTCTGATTGGTCTGACTTTTCAGTGTTAAGGTTGGGTAGCCAATCAGACACAATCTTATAAGTACATGTAGCTATTCATTGACTCAATCGTTCCACTGTTAGTGCAGTATATAAAGGTAAAAGTGGAATATGGTTTCTGATATGTGTCAGCGTTCGCATTTTACATGTAAGGTCCGGAGAGACAATGGTAACATTAACTGTCTCCTGGCACAGAAATATATTTTTAAAAAAAATGCCAAAGTTGCAACCAACCACCGAGTGTTCTAATTTCAGGGCTGTCCAGTTATTACAAGAGAGTGGTAATACAACACAGCTAAATATAGTGTTATCAAACCATGCAAAGATGTTATGGTTAGTATGTTATTTGGATTTATTTTTAAAAAAGTGGGATTATTGAAATTATTTGAATATTAATGCCCTAACACTTGACAGAAGTCGAACAGGCAATTATTACCGTTGTTTTATAAGTGGATTTATAACATCTGATATCAGAGGTCAGAGTTCAAATCCACTTGTTTCTTGGGACGTTTGTAATCTTAACATGTAGGGGATAGTTGTACAATCCATAAATATCCAACCCTGCAGAAATTTTAATTAACCCTTGTAGTTTCAACTTTGACCCTTAACCCCTAGACCACTATTGTCAACTTTGACCCTTTACCGTCATGTAAACTTTGACCCTTAACCCTTGGCAACTGTGTCCTTCACCATTGTCAAGTGATGAAAGTAGTATCACTTTCTGTCTCCATAATTCAAGATTATTGTTGAATTTAGAAGAAATTACAGAAAAAATGTTCGAGGGAAAAAGAGTCTCGATGTAAAAGCATAATGTAATAACATGAATTTGTTAAAATTCAGTGCAATTGGAAAGTATGAAGAGTCTGTCTCTGTATATCTGTCTATTAAGCCATTAAGTGATGTCAACGACATCTGTGGATTGGCTGCGGCATTGTATAAAAGTAACAAATTGAAAGAAAGTTATCAAGGTTAGTAGATAGTATGTAAACCTAATATTATACATTTGGAGTGACTAGAAATTACATTTAATTTTTTGTCTTTTGTTCATTTCAACACTTCATTTTAAAAGTACCTGTAACAAAGTGTATAATTTGTCCCTGACATTGACTGTGTTCCTTTTCAGCATTTGAACAGGCTTTACAAGTGGCTACCAATGACGGTGACAAGTCGAGTATACTGGCAGCCATGGGAATGGTATCATATCACTTCAACGATGTCGATAGAGCTAAAACCTTGCTATTTAAATGGTGAGTAACATGTTCAGGGGGTGATTACTAAAAACTAAGGGGGGTAGAACTACTGTGTCAACCTTACCCAAGACTTTCTAATGGTCAACCCTTTAATCAATCCTCGGGGCCGGAGCTATGTCACAAAACGTTCCACGTTGCTAAGACTGTACATGGATTTCCATGGGAGCTGTGTGCGCTGCTGTGGAACGCCGGTTGAGCCGGTGAAAATTCAAGAAAACAACACAAACTCAACTTTGAAGTAATTCTGAACAACCAAATTTACATATGTTACACACGTAGGGCTAATCTTGTTACACTGTTCAGAGGAGTCTCAACAACCCAAAGTATCGTTTTCTGCAAGTTTTGGGCCTTTGTTTTCACCGCGAGGGTTGCCAGGCAGTGAAAATGCCTGGATGTCCGCCCCGAGGATACAAAAAGAATAGATAAAAGATAAAATGACAACTATCCACAAGAATTCAAAAATTTTCAAATTGATCTTCATTCATTGGCATTGACCTGTACTATGTTTATGTTATGTTTATATTTTGTGGTATTTGTTTTTTCAGTTCACAGTTTTCCCCATCCTGTACGCATGGTATACTGGCTCTGTGTGCCTTGGGTTTACGACAAGGTGATTACACCCTAGCATCAGCAGCTCTCACAGAACTACTGAAACTTGGCGATAATGACCAATTGTCTGCCGACATCTCTTTCATGTCAGCATGTCTGTATGCATTGCAGGTATGTTATTAAATAGTAGTCGAGTTATGAATAATATTTATTTAGTTGACAACGAGATTGAAAGCTTGGTGGACTTTGTCAAAACTAGTGTGAGTGGAACAACTTTGTAAGGAAAAGTTGTTTGAATTTCTCCTTGAATGAAATACCTTTTTCACTTCCTGACATCTTTATATTTGGGTGGTGGTTTTTTTTGGCAGCCCAATCATGAGTTGTATGTTGTCACAGTGTATATGTGTTACGTAACTCTTTTTGTATAGAAGGACAATCACCTGTAGAAATTGTGGCTGATTCATGTACTTATTATGTTGCTTTCAACCACAAGCCACCTGCTTAGCATTTTATAGTAATGTAACCATACATTCACACAGCGTGTCAATCTGAAAATTGTTTTTTCAACTCTAGAGTGTTGTACCATTTTTAAATAGTGAGAAGACCATTGCGCTCTTTACTTGAGTCGTGTAAGAAAAACCTATTTCTGAAAAACAGTCCTCTCCTTGTAAATGTGGAGAACAAAAAAACTATTAAATGGTTACTGTTTGGAACAAAGAAAGTACTTTCCTAGTAAATGCTGAGCAAAAAGCATCCACTGTCGAAGGTTAGCGGACTGTTATGACGATAGAAACGAGCCAAAAAGTAGTTTTACTGTAGTGGATCAGAAATAAAATCACAAGCAGTGTCTTTTTTTTCATACAGGGGAGTTACATCACTGCAAAGAACCAAATTCTCAAATCAATTCACAGGTAAATGTTACATAGGTCACCGATTTCTTGAATAGCGTAACTTGCATGGGTTGTTTCATAGTTTCCTTTGGGAAGTGTTTAGTTTCAGTTATCTTTAAAAATGATGATCAATTTTATGCTAATGCAATGTTTTTAGGTTCCCATGGCGAGCTATTCTTTGGCAACAGGCTTCCAAATTTATACTGCAATATATACCAGACAAGGCCAAGGTATGTGATAGGTCATTTGATCCTGTGTTTTATAAACTTTAACATTATCATATAGATACTGGATTACGTATTAAAATAAATAATAACACATTCAATGTTATCAAAGTTTGTTTGACCATAATATATTGAATGTCGATCATAAAAACATTTTTTTGTGAGGGATGGCAGTTTTTGTTATTGTTTGCAGTAACAATTAATATGTATATTGTTTGGTTTCACAGGTAGCCGTAAATTGTGGCAAAGTCGCTAATATACATGGTATCACCGAATGCAAGGTTTGTTACTTTTAATACTACCGGTATGACCTGCCACGCCCATTTATGGCATACATTGATTAACAAATAATAATGCTATAATATTAAATAATGAACTTTTGGAAATTGAAATAACGACAACTCCATGCAGAGTACATATGTTGTCAGCATGTTTTATGAGTCACATGGGACCTGTATGTAACATAGCACAATTTACAACAACACTTGAATATAAGGCAAACATGTGACAACATAATATGAAATGTGTGCCTGTTCTGTTCATATGTATGTAAGAGGGTCTAAAAACTATTAAACTCTGCGACGTGATTGTGCAACTCGCTGAATGTTGATCATCGCACTCTGCGAATGGGTTGCAGTGTCACTCTGTGATAAGCATGATTCCCATTGGCTGGTTGGTCGAAACGTGTTAATCCCAATGGTTGATTGATGCCCATATTACGATACTTCTTTATTTACAGTGTAAGGCTTCACTGCATGCCTTGTATAAGTTTTAAATGGTTATTTCGACAATTGCTCGCGAACTACAGTATACAAGTGTGTAAACACTATGTACCGGCGACATGCCGCACTATTCGGTGATCGGCAAGCACTCCTGTGTTTGACTAGACTGGCACAGTTGGGACTGCTTTTTAGTTTTGACAAATTAAAACTGTAACCAAGAGTTGTCAAAGCAGTTTCTCAGTTCTCATTTTCTCCGCTCCCATGGCCGTGAATAACCCCCAAGTTCAAAGTTGCATGGTCACATTGACAAATTGTAACAGTATCGCTGTGATTTTATTATCCCAGCCAAAATATTTTTAAAAAACATGATCACTAGCAATTATAACAACTCTGCAAATATGTGACGCTAATCTAACCATTTCCCGCAAAACAAAAAGCATAGTACAACCCCGGTGATTGACCCAAGCCACTGTAGCCTTTCAGGTCACATCCGGAAATATATATTTACGCAACATGGTTTATGTTTGTGAATATATTTATTGAATATCGCAGCATAGACCAGGTCACTCTAGAAGGAACTGTGCATATAGCCAACTTGAATTTGAATTCTTACAAGCTACTAGTACCTTGTCACCAGAAATGACTTGTTTATTTTACTTTTAATATACAGCTTAGATCAGTAACTATACACATAAACAATAAGCGAGCATGTTGACTGTGTACAATGAATAATCAGTCAAATTAGAATACTAAGCTCCGCCCATACCATGCTTTATGGTTGGCTGGTTTCCGCCTCAAGTGTCATGGCGCACCAAGCCACAAGAGGCTGGTAACTAGTAATGCTTATAGTATTCTGATTGGTCCATCACGTTCTTGTTCGTTGTTCTATCTCCCTTGGTTACCTGATGTCAGTGCTTACCCTCGTGGTCGTTCCAAGGTTTTCCCACGCTCTCAAAAGTTGCAGGAATATAAAACTTTTGTTGTTGTTATTACTTTGCACAAAAATAGCGAGAAATGTTAAAACCAACTCAAGTAGGAAGTCGAAGCAGGGGGAATGAATGGACGTGGCGTTATTGTAGTATCACAGACACGTTTACGTAGAACAGAACTTGGAATGTTTTCAAAAAACGTCACTCAGTCACATGCCTTTGGGCCTGAATCCCAGCCTAGTGGATTACTAGTGATTTGCAACACCTCCAATAAACAATTAGAACTATGAATACCATGGCTCTGTGGAACGTTGTGAATTACATCTTGTCACAACGTTTCTGTCCAATAATTCACTCGGTGAAATGTCCTTCCCAGGATTCTCCATGCTTGGTACAATGTAACAATAGGGTTGCGTGAATCCACTTATACCATTGGTTGACTGTGACAGCAAAGGTCAACGTCATGACAACCAGACATTGGTGCATTTTCCTGTGTTTAGTTCACGGTGGTACTGAGCAACATGGCCGTTCATAGGCCACCATACACACAAAAACCACCGAGGTTTACGGGGATCTGGGTCTTGGACTATACAAATTTTATATTTAGTTTAAAGCCTTTTGTCAGTTGCAGCATTATGTGGCATAATCTCATTTTTGAAGATCTATTTTCATTAAGCGTGGTTCCGACCTGAAAGAAAACGGCATGCCAGTGCGATTTGTTTTCAAATCACCGCTGATTCCTCAGCTTATATACCATATAAACCACATACGTCCATACGATACCATATCTTACAGTGTCTCTATTCACAATCTGTAAAAATTACGAAGTTCAACCTGCAGTTT